TAATTTGGATGGGAATAACCTTAACAGTGTTATGAAGGAAAGGGATCTTGGTGTAATAGTCAATCAGTCTCTAAAGCCATCAAATCAATGTGCTGTTGCTAGTGGTAGGGCAAATAGGATTTTAGGTTGTATCTACAGAAATGTTGAATGCAAGTCTAAAGAGGTTATAATTTCATTGTAAAGGTCACTGGTTAGGCCACATTTGGAATATTGTGCTCAGTCTTGGGCTCCTTACCTTAGGAAAGACATTGAATTGTTGGAAAGAGGTCAGAGAAGGGTTACTAGAATGGTGCCTGGGATAGAGGGGTTGTCATATAAGGAGAGGCTGAAATCTCTCAAATTGTTTTCTCTTGAAAAATTAGGGGGGATCTGATTGATGTGTTTAAGATTGAAAAGAGGTCTGATAGTGTTGATGCATCATCTTTTTTCATATTCAACAGTGAGAATAGTAGGACTAGGGGACACAAATATAAATTTTGGTAAGGTAGGAGTCGTTTTCAGCTAAGACAGTTTCATTTTTCTAACAGGGTGGTGTGCTTTTGGAATGGGTTGCCTTCAGATGTTGTATAGGCAGTAAATTTAAGAAAAACTTGATAAGGGCTGGCTTTAATATTTTTTTTTGTAAATTATTTTAATTTAGTTTAGAGGATGAAACAGCCAAGATGGACCAATAGGTGTCATGTTGTCCCAAAACGTTATGTTATGTTAATCATCATGGGAGTGAAAGGCCTAATGGTTGATACGTTAGAGTGAGATTACCAATTTCGTAAGAAATAAGGAAAATAAGTTGTCTTGTCAAAGGATGTTCTAAAGTAATTTTTCGTGATGTAAAAGACTGTTTAGTTTAGATATTATTGATTGATTTATTTTGTGAGTGAATATTTTATTATGATTTAGTTTTTGTTATAAAAGGAGTTAAAACCCCAAGAGCTGTAGGAAGTAATGTTTATAATTCATTGATGTTGAGACTATTGAACATCATGTGCAATACACTGATGTCAAGAATATAGAGATTTCTAGAAGGTGGGCAGACGATTAAGTGATAATCATATAAATAGTGTGAGAAGAGCAGAACCAGCAGACAGACAATAGCAGAAGAGAGTAAAGTTATTGGCAAGAAAAAGTTTGGTATGAAGTTAACTACCGTAGAAGTGATAGACCTAACATTTAATATGTTAGAGTAAGACTAACAGTAGAAAAGGAGATAAAGAAGAATTATTCCATCAAAGCGTAGTTCTAAAGTAATTGAATCAGCCTGAGTGCACTTTGACAAAAGGATATTTAGAAGAAAGAAGACCAAACAATTACAGTAACTCTCACCGCAATTGTAAGTGAATCACACACACAGAATACTAGTGTGATAGCAATAGAGAAGATAGTTTGGCTTGTCAACTGAAATTCTAAAGCAGTTGAATAGGC